TCGCTCGTCCGGATATTGTGATTTTGGGGTATCATAATCTAAAAGACGCGTATATGCTTGTAGTATGTTACTGGCCTATCTTCCTCTGCTCAATTCATCACGTATATACAGTAATAGCGTGCACAGAATAGGGCCCTTTCCTGAAAAGAAGAATAGTAAAACAGTTTTTAGAATCCGCGCGTTATTTGTTTGGTAGGAATGAAAACAGACTTAACCCGCTGTTCGATAACGACAGGTAGCAATCTATACTCAAAGGAGATAGGATGGAGACGGGCGAGATGTGTGGTGATGGAAATATCTGAATTTCCGATCTATTCAGTCTCCTCTGTCCATTTTGTAAAACTTCAGCATCACTGGTCCGATTAACCTCCCCTCTTTTCCCATGTGTTTGTTATCCTTTTCTCTGTTCGCAGCTCTACGTGAATCTCCTCAAACTGTTCACCCCGGATCGGGCTGCAATCATATTGCTTTCTGCGCATTTCGCTTCCACCTTGCCCAAAGATGCTCCCGTACAAGTGGAACCATGGTTCAAAATTCGATACACAGTCGAAGGTGTGTTTCTCACCGACCCTCAATTTGGCGATTGGATACTCGTCCTTATTTGCGCAGAAAACCAATAATGATTCGTTCATAAGCGGCAATGCCGCTGAAACTGACTTATACAGTAGTGTGTGCTTTACGTACGATGATTGTAACCTCCAAAACCCAGTAATTCTTCTGTGTTTTCAAAGATTGTTATACTTATAAACAGGTAATGTTAAAACAGAAACTCTCCGAACTAGAATGAACACCGTTCTACCACCCAACTAAGCTCCCACTGATTTCTAGTCTGCTTCGATTTCCAATGGATTTTAAACCCGCCCGCTTTTATTAGTAACGTTAGAGTATGAAACGTACCGGGTTCACAATCCATCACTTCTGCGTTGCTCACAAGCGCATCTGAGCAACCGTTTTCCGATATTGGGAACCTATCCTGATGTAATCTAATCATCACATTAGTGAGCAAGCCCGTTGATGTTGCCAATTTTTGTTTGTCAGCTCTCGTTTCCCACCTTATGCTATACACTTTAAATGACCACGAGAATCGTCGTGGCTTGAATTGGCCATCTATCCGTAATTTCTCCACTTCAGCTTGTTTTTTTCCAGAAAATCTTTAACATTCAAGGATCCTCATTCAGCTCATGAGGGGGGAGGAAACGAGTTGAAATTTATTTGCAGTATCGTGGGTGCACGTTGTCTGAAGAAACTATGACCATGTATATATACCCTAGTGATATCTCTACCGAAATGAAAACGGATGAACCGTTCCTACAGAAACTATTCTGTCCACGGTGGATTGAATTTAATTTTGGTTGTGCCACGTCTTGATGGGTCCTGCCTTCTCCCCGTACTTTTTTGCAGACATTCCTGACACGTTAATGCAACGATGGAAAAGTTCCACTCCGTCCCCGGTGCTTCATTTACCGTACAAAAACAAATACATCAGTGAGTCTCTATCTCTGGTTCTCAGTATATGCTAACGCCTAATATCCGTCTACCGTTTCTCATTTTTTTCCCGATTTACAAAGTACTCTTATGGACTTCATACACCATTGAGATTGTATTATGACAGTAATTAGACAGATGGCCCATATGTAGTTTCCTTTTCAACTAACTTTACAGTTTAAAGAACATGTTATTTAGGTACGGAGATCTTGTGGTTTGTTCCTGACTGTGCTTCTTTCGAACTGCTTTCCGACGATTTCGTTTTTACCTTTGGCCTCCCCATCCCGAACACTGCCTAGCGAATAAGTTCCCTCATCACTGTTGTCACTTTTCCTTGTTTCAATCCGCGGCACGTCACCCTTTTTGTGGGATCTGAATTCTCACAGATTGTTTATTCATCCGTGACCGTTGACTATTCTTGGTACAAAACAAAAGACATCAGGTTGTTTTTTCACTTTTGATAAATGTTTTCTTCAAACTTTCAGTGTGTAACGGACGTGAAAAACATATGCATCCGCGCTAATCACCTATCTTTCTTGACAAACTTTTCTCTTTTTAGCCACCGACTTTACACTACTGCCTTCGGAGCAGGACATGAAAGTGAGTCATGTAATTTTTGAAAAGTTCGATGTTTTTTTCGATTTCTCCTTTTTTGTGTTTTCATGCTCACTGCTCCGATCAAGCTAAACAGCATAAGAGTAAA